TTGCGTTCTAATCGATTGAAAGAGCGCTTTAAAAGTCATTGGGTCGACATTGCAGGGCTTGAAAGCATAAATATCACATCTTCCACCACTTATAACCTTATTCTAACCCGTGTTTACATTATTATCAGCATATTCTTTAACTAGTCGTTTAGATTATTATTAGTTATTTTATTAAATATTGTAAGTATTCTTCACTATATTCTTCATTTTTATTAAATATCGTTAATTTAATTGTCAAGAATTTTGTCGGAATATTCATAAAATTGTATATAAAAAGTGAAAGGAGTGAACATTTTATTGTGAGTTAATAAACGGACGCCAAATGTTTACTTTAAATGTATGAGTCCTATGAAGTGATGTGAAGAAAAACATTGCATTGGATTCTGTTATACGCTATTCATTCATATTATTTCAATTGTTTCTAAAAATAACATTCACTACAAATTGATATATTGCTAACATTACGCGAAGAAAGTGCTAAAAGCTATTAAAAAGCTCACAATGGATGACTTGAGGCTATCGGAAATGGCTTATCTCAATATTCCCGATCGGGATAGAGATAAGAGTCCATCTCCAGCCGATTCTATGGCCTCTTCTGCCACAGATCTTTCAACATTACCCATGAATTTAGGACAACGAAGGGATGAATCGACCGTAAGTTTATGTCTCATAATTTATGTTATGATAGAATATGAGTGGAATTACGGGAGAGTTGCGCCGATATTACATCAGTTGTTGCAATGTTTACCAGTTATTGACGAAGAATTCCCTATTATAAACATAATTCTGTTTAGTGTTTAGTATATTCTGTATAAAGCAATAAGTATATCATTTTGCTTCATGTCTTCAATATAAAACTGGTTCACCATTTTTGCGTTCTTTCAGTCAGTATTCACTTCCTTTCACTTGTTGTGTATTTCGAGGAAGAGTTTTAGTAAATTGTATTAATGTTTTATCAAAGATAAGAGTTTTGTCGTATATTTCAATATTAATAAATTAGTTGAAATGTACAGCAATAGTGAGAGAAAGTCCTCTTTAAGGGTACGTTAAATGAACTATATTTTAATCATTTATTTGATATTTGATGTGCAATTTTATCGTTCTATGAAATATTTTGTAAAACACAATAACAATAATTTATTGTTCGTTTGTACAGTAACTGTTTTTATCATGGTTATTTTATTTTATTTGAAATTTTTGTTTGAAAGATTAAATTTTACTTAAAAATATATTTTATTTTAGTAAAATTAATTTTATTATAGCAATACATACCTCTACAGTATATTGAAATGTACTGTATATTTAACATGTATATTTTGTACAATATATTATTAATAGTTAGGCACAATTATTAGCCGAAGAAATCATTGTAAAATAGAATGAGCATGGTTATTTGTTTGTTTAATTTAATTTTAGCTAGTTTGTATATTTTTTTTATCAAACTTTATTCAGTCATAATTATTGTGAAAACTTTAACTTAATAATTATTAAAATGTGATTAAAATAGAATATTCTATAATCTTTAATTTTATTGGATTCTGTTAACATCTATGGAATATATATCATTTCATGTCAGATATACTGTATAATATATTTGTTACATAGTGTTTATACAAATATACATTTAATCAATTAATTTATAAAAGCATTTATTAAACGCTCTATAATTCCATAATTATGTTAGCACTTATTGTGTCTGTTTTAAGAGCAGTCAAAATTATAATATTGGGGCTCAATATAATTAAATATCTCACAGTAATCTATAAATTATTTATGATATCATTTGCAATATTTATAAATGTGTAATAATTTTGCTAATAATTAAATGAATTGCAAAATTCTAGTTATTTTGAATATTGACATTTAATTAAATATTTTATACTGTGGGCTAAAATTTGTGTCTTTTAAATCTAGTATAAAATTCGTATTTTATTTGTTAATATTATTAATTATTTCCAAGGAATATATTACATTATTAGAAATTAATTTATTTATATTTTTTTATTCAATTATTGTTTTGTCATATGAGTTAAATAATAAGTGTACAAAATACCAACTTTTATTATATAATATCAATTAGCTTAATGGCAAGAAATTCTGTGAATTAGGCAAACAATGAATTGCAATTTGTATTATAAATATATTGCCACAGAAATGGTAACTAATGATATGGGGGTTGTGTTGTATAAAATCTATACTATAGATTGTAGATTTAGTGTATTTAGTGTTAAATTACAACAATTATACAGCACAAAATGTTTGCAATATATTTTAAATGGTTATTGTAAAATATGAGTAAAAGTTAGCTCGCATAAATAAGGCAGCTTTGAGTCTACAGTAATTATTGTCTGTATAAGTACTTTTTTGAAATTAATCGCAACTGTTATACAAGTGTTTAGTAGAAATTTACGGCACATTTATCTCATTTAGTATTTTATGAAAACTTCAATATTCATTTTGTTTAATCAATAATATTGTTATGAAGTGATGGCTAAAAATTGCTGTATTTTAATGTCATGCGTGTGTGTTGTGTGACGTGCTGTCCGGCGTCAAAGAACTCCATAGATTGTTGGTTTGGTTCCCATTTGTTGTGACAAGTATTCCGGTTCTTCTATTAACGCATTTACTGTTTTAATATTAATTCCTCATATTTCTGCAAATTGTCATATATTTGCTGTCAATATTTTATTATATTGGAGTTGCAATTCACTAATCTGTTTGTTAATTAACCGACAAGTTTGTTGTCAATGCTCTTATAAACTATTATTATTTTCTATAGACAATTGACAATACTCTTGATTTTTCATAATTGAAAATCATATTCATATTAAGTGTTTTGTTTTTTAATATTCATATTTAAGTAAGAATTAATATCTTATCACATCTTTATTTGCTTCAAAATCTGACCAAATAATTCAATTTAAATTAATAAAAGTGTTTTGATTAGAATATTTGAATAATATTCAATTTCAATAATAATATTATTCATATAATTACCAGAATATGCCGCACATAAGGAGATCTGTAAGTCTGGCGTCTAATCATTAGTATTTCATAATTTATATGTTTATAATATATTATGTGAAACATTATATTCTATTTACTTTATTCACTACTATTAATGCTGGTATCGATTGAAACACAGTAGTTGTAGTGTTATATTATTATACGGTTTATGGTTTAATCAATAATTGCTCGACAATGTACTAGACATGAAAGCACCGGCACTTTTTGCTTCCCAAATCAGACACTCCTTTTATACAATCCTTTCTATTGGTTAGAATTATGTGTGTCTATACCAGACCTTCCTCTCCACAAATAGCTCTCATATTCTGTATGTCTACTCATATTCTCATATAAATATACAATATATTCGTTATGAATGAGCGCTTTATCACAATTTTTAAGAATCAAATAAATAAAGACAAATGTTGTATAAAAATATTTTTGCATTTATAAGGCATGCACTTTAACTCTCGTGCAACATACATGTATCTCTCACACAGTATGATAATAGTAGATATAATTACCCGGGGGAAAATATAATTGTACTATTCATTCATTTAATAATATTTCTGTAAATATAGTAATATTATGGCGTTAAATCTTTATGGTAATAATACATTCACAGTAACTTTTACTAAATGTGAATTTATGCATTTATTTCCAGGGTTTAAACAGTCATTTAGTGTTTGCGATATCTGCGGCGGCATTGGGCTCATCCTTCCAACACGGATACAATACGGGTGTTGTGAACGCACCGCAAGAATTAGTACAAAAGTTTATCTCCGAGGCTCACACCGAAAGGTTCCATGACTTGAGTTTGAATATTACATCCAATACAACATCAAGCGATGTGAGCGGCGATGCGGTCACTGTTAACCTAATCTACTCTATTATGGTCTCAATCTTCTGTATCGGAGGAATGATTGGCGCTCTTCTCACCGGTTATGTCGCCGAAAAGTTTGGTCGAAAGGGCGGTCTTCTCTGGAATAACGTGTTTGTGTTTCTGGCGGCAGGACTTATGGGCTTCTCGAAGATGTGCCGCTCCTATGAAATGCTAATAATGGGCCGATTCTTCATTGGCTTTAACGCAGGTTTGCATATGTTATGACATTTAATACAGTAGTTGTTGTTATTCTCCAAATATGTGCCTTCAATCCTGAATAATGTCAAATGAATGTTGGCTACAATTCAGGGTCTTTACTGATAATGATTTTGCAATTGGTTTTTGTTTTTGAATATATTAAGAAATCTATGTCTGAAACTTAAGATAAAATCTAATTCAACAAAACGTCATCATTTCAAATGTCATTAATTTTAAATACAGATTTTAACAATTGATATTAAAAGTTAAACTAATTTAATGTTATGAATATTTTAAACAAATATATGTAAATTTATAATTTATTCCCAAATTCTTAAATGCATTAACGGATAGTATTATAATTTAATTATTATAAGTTGATGATGGTGTATTTAAATGTTAACTCTCATTATAAATGAACCTAAAGGTCTAAACGCTGGTTTGGCGCCAATGTATTTGACGGAAATATCACCGACACATTTGAGAGGTGCCATCGGAACTATATATCAGTTGGTTATCACAATCTCTATCCTCACTTCAAATATTTTGGGTTTACCTCAGATATTGGGAACTGCAGACAAATGGCCCATACTTTTTGGTAAACTCTTTTCAATAATCTATTTATTATCTGTTAATTAAAACAAAAATATATTATTCGGGACATTAGCGGCAACGATAATCCCGGCCATCTTTATGCTCGCAACTTTGCCTCTCTGTCCAGAATCACCAAAATATATACTTATATTTCAAAACAAAGACGTTTCCGCACAGAGAGGTAACTAACAAATTGACATTTGATTGATTGAAACGATATAATGTAATGTTAATGTTATGCCACTCAGCACTGACTTGGCTGAGGGGCACAATTGAAGTGCACGACGAAATGGATGACATGAGGGCTGAATACGAATCGATGAAACTGGTGCCCAAAGTTACGCTTCACGAGCTCTGGTATAACTCAATGCTGAGACAACCGCTGTTCATATCACTGGTGGTAATGTTGAGCCAACAGTTCTCTGGTATAAATGCCGTCATATTCTTCTCGACCGACATCTTCGAGAGGGCGGGTTTGGATAAATCGGCCGCACTTTACGCCACTTTGGGAATCGGAGTAATCAATGTAATGATGACAATCGTTTCGCTCATATTGGTTGAAAAATCCGGTCGAAAGACACTGTTGTTGACAGGTTTAGGCGGAATGTTCTTCACGACAATAGTGTTGACCTTCTGCTTAGCACTTAAGGATAGTTTCGAGATCTTGAGATATGTCAGTATTTTAGCCGTCTATATGTTTGTTGTGATGTTCGCGTCGGGTCCGGGATCTATACCGTGGTTTTTAGTGGCCGAGTTGTTTGGTGTCGGCGCCCGAGCGATGGCCACAAGTATTGCAGTGTCTGTGAACTGGACGGCAAACTTCATAGTGGGTCTCGTCTTCTTACCACTTCAGGTATTTTTGCAATCTTTATTTATCTTAAATTTATTTACCATCAATGTATACTAAATAATTATTGTTGTTAAATTGACCAGGAAACAATGGGAGGCTATGTATTTGTCATATTCTCAGTACTATTGGCATTGTTTTGGGTCTTTGTCTATAAGAAAGTTCCGGAAACAAAGGGTAAAACTGTTGACGAAATCGCCGCCGCTTTCAGACAAAAGGCCTATCAATAAAGCGATCGATTGAATGGAAAATATTATTTTGTATAGCATTTGACATATTCTAGAGATATATAGCAATATATTATAACATTTATTTTGATTGACAGCAATATTAGTGTTAAACATATTCTTGAATATTATGTAATTTAAAAATATAATAATTGTTTGTTAAACAGTCTATAGAGTGATTGAAATCGTTTATATAGTCATTCCATTAACAACACATTCATTGTATCATTTCATACATCAGTTGTGATTATAGTCTGTGCCATAAATGGTAATAAATATTGTAATCAACTAATAATTATTGAAATCAAATTAATAAAACACAATAATATTTGATTCATTCAATTCTTATCATTAATCATATCATCTTTACATCAATTTATATGAATAAAAAGTGTTGTTCAGAGAAATGCATGCTTTTATGCAATTGTGCCAAATATGGCATTTCAAGAATATTCTTGCTTTTCTCACATCTATTCTCTATTATTAAGCGTTATTTGTGTTACGATTTGTATTGCATTTCAAACAATACAACACAACAAACGGTTAAATTTGATTTGACTTAAAGTAACGTATATTACAATCAATACAATTAATGTGCGTGAAAGTGACCATGGTGATGTGATCATGGTGATGCATGTGGTCAAACCAATTGATGTACTTTTGTAATCATAATTGAGTGCATTGTTTGCAATCCAATTGAGTGTCAATAAAGTGATGGAAAGGGTATTGTTTTCCTCACATCTAACGGACGTTGAGTTGAGTTTCAGTTTCAGTGATCACTCGCTTTCATCGGACGACGACTTACTGCCCGTCAGTCACAGAAACACTCAAACCGGTGGCCAATCGACGGCCGCGCAGACCAGTAGTGGCCCAACACTGGCCAACACTTCCCCACACGAGACACAAAAGTGTGGCCAAACTTCGGGCAAACAATGCGGTGATAATACGTGGTATAAGTCGTGTCCCATTTGCCAGTGTTTGGGCCCGAAGTCTATAAATCACATCAAACTCTGCGCCAAACAAAGATTTATTGATCCAAAACGTGTCATTCAATTGCTTAGCAAATGCCCAAAGATCGAGCACTCGGTGGACACCAAACCGCAGAAGAGATATCAATCAAAAACAAACAAAAAGTCCAATAAATTAAGTGATAATTATGTGATTAATTTTGAATCCGGAAAACCTCTGAAGTTATCGATTAATTCAAAGCTTAAGAGCGATAAAAGCCGATACGAGTTGTGCTCTTTGGACGCAACACAACGCAAGACACTTCTTATGTCCAAAATCACAGATCAGTTCATCATTTATAACGACATGAGAGACAATATTTGCAAACAATCGGTTGTTGACAATACGTTGCCTAAGATTTGGACTCTTTCTCTGTTAGACTCCGAGTCGGACCAGTATTTTGTCGACGGTTTCCATAAATACCAACCAATTATTAGTTAAATAATGAATGCTTTTTATGTTATTTTTATTTTAAAACTTTTATTTAAATAAATTTTTACGAATTATGAAATATATATCTCTAAAAAAATATACAATATTTGATACAATTTGTTGATTTCAATGTTTGTTTGAATCCATTTATACAATAAATAATAACAATTAAAGTAAAAATTAAGCACATCTTTAAAGATGATTACATTATAATTATTATCAAAGTTTTATATAAATATAATGTTTTTGATTTTAAATTATAGAAATTTATAATAAGAAGTGATATTAAAATTAGTGATAGACTTATAAACTTATATTATTGAGAAGACCATTACCTTAGGGTTGGCTATCATAAGAGAATATGTATTTGAAATTAATTATAAATGAGTCGATAG